AGGGAGGGGACCCATGGCAAAACAAAACCTCCGGGGCTGACGCGAACATTCATTTCGCGGGATTTTGTTTTTCCCCAATAGCTGCGAGGGTTCTGAGGTAAGGTTTCGCAGGGTTCGAGGGTCGCAAAAAAAAGAGCGCCTCATGCTGTTGGGCATGGTTGTTGTTGGGAAACATTTTGCATTTTTGCTTTTTGTGGTTTTAATATTTGTTGCTCCCCTTTAAACGTCAACCAAGTGTTGGGGAAATCACCTGAGCTCATCGTTTTCCTCTGCGCCTATCAGCCATAGCCATAGCTCTTGGTCTTCTCCCAGGCGCCGGGCGGCGCCAGCAGCTCTACGGGCCACTTGGAGGGAAGTTATGCGTCGGTTGAAGCTCAGCCGCTCGAATTCGATGAAGTTAGGAGAGCGAAGGGGAACTCTTTCGGGGTTAGCTCAATGAACCTCTTCTTGGTTTTAAGCGAATGGAACTTGAAATTAATTTCATCCATTTGCTGAAGAAGATGTTTTTTTTCTTCCCTTTCTGGTAATTTAGGAGAAGGCTTGGGAACTTGTCGCAGGTTTCTAGTCTCCAGATACCTTTTGGTCCACCAACATGGAACCTGTGAGGTTCGTTGGTTCGATGTTTGATGGGAGTGCAGTGGTCCGAGCTCATTTGTTTTGTGAGGTGTCACTTGCTCGGTCTCCAGATGACGGTTGCCAGTTTCGAATTGGTGGCTTCCAGCTTGCTGATAGTCATCTTCCAGTTGCTGAAATGAACATTTGTGTGTGTGTGTGTTTTTCCCTGCTGGTTTTTAAAGGAAATCTATCACTACTGGACATATTGTTAGTTTTGCCAGGGGACTTAAGCAAATGGAAGACAGTTATGCATAAGTTATGCTGGCCTTGGGAACTCTTTTTCGGGGCGTGAAGCTGAAGAATTTATGAGGCTTAAGAAATGAAAGAACCTTCTTGGTTTCGGGGTCTGAAGCCTGAGCTGAAGTTGAATGATATCTGTTCAGCCTGCCTGAACTCGATGATGTGAGGGGTAAGTGAAAGCACCTTCAAAGCTTGGACTCCAGCCCTGCCTAGTTGCAACCCTCGAAAATGCCGACCAACAGCTGCAGCCTTTTTCCTGCGGCTTCAAGGTGGCTTGGCAGGAGGCACAATTCCCAGCGGCTGTGATTTCCAAGCAAGCAGGGAGCCACACGAACGAGTTGCCCATTTATTTATATACAGACACACACCAGAACGGGTTCTATGCCTTTGAGGCCTTTCAAAACGTGCATCAATCGGTTTTTTTGGGGTCACAACAGTGATCAGTGGTTGGCTTTGCGCGCAGTGTCCTGAACAAAACATAGTCACGCTAGAAACCAACCCAGCAACAAGGACCGATTCTCCTGGCACAACGATGTTCGTTGGCCAACGTGGCTCACCACCTTTCGCAGACCGCTACTGTGGATGGACGAAGTCCTGCACCACCTAAGAAACCCTGGAATGTTTCGATTCCGATGTAAATTCCTCAAGTGGTGTGAAATAGATTTTGTCCATCCACTTTCAAGGAGCGGCTTTCATCCGGAAGGTGTGCTTTTATAGGCCCCCAAAGGTTTGGTTTTCTTCCCAACAGCTGTAAGCTATGGGGTCTTGGCCCAAATAAGCTCCGAGGTGGTTTGGGAGGTTTCAGGGTGCATTCCGGAAGGTTCTAGGGGGTTCCGGGGTTGTTGGGGATACCACCTAGGCGTTTGTTGTTTTGTTTTTTTGTTCTTCTTTCTTTCTTTTTTTTTTTTTTTTTTGTTTTTTCGTTTGTTTGTTTGTTCCTTTTTTCGGGAGACAAGGAAGCCGTCCGTTCGCTGAATGCAAGAAGCCGAACCCCTAGTTCCCCTTGCCTTCGGATTGCAGACTAGGATTTGGAATCCGCTCATGTTGAACCCAGTTGTCTTGCCGTAGTATGTAACATGGTTGCCCGCCAGAAGACATCAATTAGAGAGAGAGACGGACAATACTCTTGGTACTCTTCTGATGGTTTGGCGTGCATGAGGGGACGACCCAAGTTTCTAACAAAGCAAAGAAGGGGGAAAACCCCAATTTCCACAGACGAAACGTGTAAAGGTTCGGACCATGACACATTTGTTCGAAGGTTTTTAAGGAAGCCATGACCCGCACGGGAGGTTCACTCGAGGTTCACTGGGATTGTCGCCCGGGGCCTACAGGCCGTTTTTGTCGCCTCGGCCAGCCTGAGGTTTCCGGGCCAAAGAGAATGCCAAATCCGTGGCGACCAAGCGCGCCGAGGAGATCCAGGGGCCGCTCGGAGGAACACGCAAGCGGTGATGCTGTGGATGGGTGGGAAATCCATTTCGCGATGGGTGGGAAATCCATTTCGCACCACGAAATGACACCATGGTTGAAACCAGTTCTTGTTGGTATTTACAGGGGAATCATCAGAACCAGGATTTGTTGGGTGGTGCAGAATTGCGTCCATCCACGGTATGGGGGGGAACTATTGGGTCGAATTCAAGGAACCAGGGGCGGGGGCAGGTCGGGAGGGGGGAAGAGGGTGAGGGGGGGGGGCGGGGGGGATGGGGGAAGGGGAACCTTTGGGTAGAAGTCAAGCATCCCACATGGCCCTTGTCCAGAAACTAGTTGTTTTCGTCCAGGGACCCGCTCAGAGGTGCCAGCGTTTGTGGGAGAAACGGCAGCTCTGATGGTTTTATTGGGGGGGGGGGGGTAGCAGCAGATTTTGGGCAGTTGTTGGGGTTGGCAAGCCGGGCTCTATCAAGCTGGACGGAAAGCCTTTGCACTTGGGTGAACTTCCCCTGGTATCCTCCTGGTCCACATGCTTAATTCTCCTGTGCACGGCAGAGCAGTGCAGCAGGCCGGTGATTTCAGACAAACAAAGGGCCCGCAAAGAGGCTTCGTTTGATTTTTTTCATGGCTAAAGGTCCCGGAGGCCAACATGCTGACAGGTGGAATGTAGTCACAAGAGCCTGTGGAATATTGTGGAATCCTAAAGTTGTCTTTGATTCCCATGTTCCGTTTCACTCAAGCTGGAATCTCCCACACTCCGATGGGTTTCTGTTTTCGGTTTCCTTGCGGTGTTTCGGCCTGTGCTAGTCTCTGCTTGGGTGTTCAATCCGCTTGCTAAGTAGGTTACAACCTTGGATATAAGTGGGGTAACTGGGGCTAGTGCCGGCTAGAAAGTACTTAGCAAGTGGTTTGAACACCCCAGTGACCCGTGACTGCAGAATTTGTGAGCCTTCAGTGACCAAAAAAGCGGGGACGGCGGGCCGTCCGTTGGTTCTGATTTGGGTCCCCGGAATTGTTGCGGGCGGGCGGGCTCCAAAGCCATCTGACTTGTTTCTGCGGTCGGGCCCTTCTCGGCCCGAGATTCACGGGTAGAAACTCCGGGGCAGGTGGCAACTTGCGGTCAGCGCGAAAAGGGCCAGCCGAGGATTGGATACGTCTTTTGGTCCAAGTCCTGCAGGCAATGCCTGGCCAACTGATTCAAGAAGGCTTTTTGTCCAAACATCCAATGCACTTCAGATGAATACCCCACCAGATTCACGGGAGGTGTCCCGTGAAGTGAACCGCATGAGAACTTTGTGTACCATCTGGATCCCTGGCCTTTGAGAAAAGACCCAAGCAATGCCGGTGTCACCGGGGGACCTCAAGATTCCTTGGGGGATTCCTTCTTTCAGGTTGATATGTTGATAGTTCACCCTCGGATCCGGTAGTTTGTCCGAAAAGTTCGCCACTTTCTTCAAACCCGTGACGAATGTGTTCCTTTGAATCCTTTGACTTTGTTTCACGAGAGCTGGAGGGATAAATGCTCCCTTCCTCCCTGTCCCTTGGTGGCTTACCCTTAAGACTCCTGTCGCGGCCCCATCTGCGTCAGGTATAGACTAAGCTCGGACGACAAGGTTCTCCTTTCCCAGTTGCCTGGTTGATTCGTTCGCAAAACAAACCGGCCCAATCCAGCACCCGGGCCCCGACGACTACTTTTTGGTTTTCGAACTTGGGTTTTTGAACATGGACAAAAGCAGTTTGGTTGAGGGGATTTTCATGAGGGAACTAAAGGGTAGGCCCCAAAGTTGTGCCTTGTTCATTAAACAAGCTCAGAAACAAAACCAAGAAGAAACCAATGATAGGCCTGCCCCGCCTCCCTCCCCCCCCCCCAGGCTGTTCAAGACCACCGAGAAGAAGACCAACGTCTTGGCCGCGCCGCCACGTGTTTTTGCTCCGCTCTTGGCCGGAGCCCCCAAAAACACGCAAAAATGGCCAGTCTGCCAGAACCCTCTTGTCATCTATTGGATTAAATTTCCTGGGGGTTATCAATGCTCTGACCTCGTCCCTCTGAAAATCGTCGGTGGGGTTGCGCTTGGTGTCCCACACCGAGAGGTTCCAGGGGCTTCAACTTTTGAGCCCAGAGCCAACGGATCCGAAACGAAAATGGCGACGGCTTCGCTGCCCGGGGCAGCTTTGCAACGTACGCCAACGTCCAGTGGCTTCAAAGAGAGTATGTTGTTTAATGTTCTCTTGTTGGGTTCAAATCACCGGAAGCATTTTCTCGGTTTTTTTGTTTTGCCGAGGGGAAGCATTCGCAACTGGCGGCCGGCCAAAAAAGAGTTCCTCCCCCCCCAGCAAAAAGACACACCCAGTTGATGTTGTTTGGGATGGGCGGAACTTCCAGAGGGGAGCTTCTGACATGGTGGACCCTCTGGGGGTTGAAGTGTCAAAGGGCAACCAAAATCAAGCCGCCATTTGCAGGGACTCAAATAAATGGGTGGCTCGTCTTTTTATTGAGAGGTGGTACCCATTTCAGGGTCGTCTTAAAAGGGAACCCAAAAGGACAAACGTCGCGCCAATTTGGGGGTCCAACTCCCAAAATCAACGAGCCACTGATACTTGGAACGAAGCACCCAGAGCTCCGGTCCGCCGCAGGAAGTGGTGCGGGGCGTCGTGTCCAACGATGCGAACGAGAAGAGCATTTTCGTGGCAGATGCCAAGGATTTGCTGATCGAAGCGCGATGGAGGAGTTGTGTCACGGGCGGTCAAAGCTTGCTCCATACGTTCAATGGGGAAAATCGAGAGTTGTCTAATGTACAGACTCCCGGCCATTAGCATGGAACCTGCGGAGAATTACTGGGAAGACCATTTTCCTTTTAAATGGACCTTCTGTCAGGTTCCATGCTACTGGGAGGGGTGTACAGACTCCCTGAAACCCTCCAAATGGACAGAGTTGCAATGGGACGCCCGGGGTGGCGGATGCCTTTTTCTCACTCTCCCCACATATGGTCTCCATCATTTAGGCCTGACGCTTGCTTATTCTCTCCAACTCCTGCAAATAAAAGCATTATTGTCTACTGCGGGTTGCATGTGGATTGGTTCCCTCAGACTACCTCTCACTTGCTAGTCTATGGGTGTGTCTCACAATAGGGGTACGCCATAGTTGGTGTCCTTTTGATTTCCCCTTAAGCAAGCCCACAAAGGTATACCCTCGCAAGAACAGGTTCCCCATGAGCTCAAAGATCGTACCCATCAAACAAAGGGAAGTCCCCCCCCCCGCCATAATTTGGGCAATAACCCGAGGGTCCAGGTACTTGTTGGCACCGATATGGCGCCGATTTGGTCAAATCGTCAAAGAACCCTATGCTGTTTCGCCTTACACATTAGTACAGGACGCACCTATCGGTCTTCAAAAAAGATCCCAACCCCGAGGAGGAAACAGGCCGCGTTCCGGCCGGCCAAGAGGCGGGGCTTGGGTGCTGGCGGATCGAAAAATCGGGGTCCGCCATAGTTTTTTCATTTTCGCCCGAAGAAGGGGGATTTTCAAGACGCCTAAATGGAAGGTTTCTCAGAAGACTTGGGTTCTACGCAATTCTACTGTTTGCATCGTACCTGGAAAGCCGTATGGCCATGTTTTTTTCTGGCCGTGGCCGTATTTGCCCGTATATGTTTTGTTCAACAGAATGATAACAAACCGTCAATGGCCTAATATGCCCTTAGTCGTATGGACACACAAACACGTTCACATATATGGGTTTACCGGTAGCTTATGTGTGTGTGTGTGTGTGTGTTCTGTTTTTTGGTCCAGGGGTGATATATGCATTGCCTCCTTGCTCAGCCCTTTCGGCCCGTTCAATGGCCCTGGCGGAGTGTGTTTTCCGGAGCTCGGGGGGTGGAACGTCAGAGGTGGAGAAACTCACCTTGCCCTCAATTGGTGGTGGTTTAAAGTGATGGTGTGGGGAACCCCTGCTGCCTTTTGAGGGGAAATGGGAGACTCCTCCTTATCCACTAAACCACCGGGCTCCAAACCACCAATTGGAGGGACGCTGATTTGCATATACACCCTCAGTCAGGAAGAGCAGAATTGACAGCATGTTTGTGGTTGAAGCGGTTGGCATTTTTGGTATCACCCAAATGAGACCTTTTCTAGTCAGGACTGGGGTTTTTGCAAGTTCCCGATTCCTGGTCAACCAGGAACCGCTTTTTGGTCACCCTACCAAGGGGGATTTGGACATGGGGAGAAAAACACCATGCAGTTGTTGTTTGGGCGGGGGGGGGGGGGGGTTGGCCTGTTTTTTTGAGGAATCGGACCCGCCATTTTGGATGGGTCTTTCCTTTGCCAGAGAGCTCCCAAGATTCAAAGGGCACAGAAAGGCGGCGGCCACTATTTCCCCAGTCGCGGTTCTCCATTGGGCCCGGGGGTGTGCGTTGGAGGGATCGGGGTGCTTCCCTTGTAGCTTTGTTGTATTTTGCTTGGATTTTAGGACTTTAACTTTTTGCCAAGTGTTCCATTAAGCAACTAAAAGTTAAACTGTTAGCAGGGGAGCAGAAAGCAAGCGAGATAGGGCATCTGTGTTTCTTCTCAGGCCTGGCGACGACACCGAGCAGTCTGGCGGTACCGTGTTCGGTGCCGCGCTCAGTTTCTTCAAAAAGCGGCGTTTTTGCCGCCGCACCAAGCTGCAACAGGTCACGGGATCGGGTTGACTTGGGTGATGGCCCCCTTCAAAAAAGTTCAAAGTCATACCGTTGCACATGGGTTGCTATCATGTTTCCTTCTGGGAAGTCCGGAAAATGCACCTCTTACGTTTCCCGGTTGGTCACAAGGGTGTCAACTATACCCAAGGTACCCTTTTTCCAGTGCTAAGTCGAACAACCATACGCAAGGATAATCAGAAATGTAGGCCGCCGCCCTGATAAATAAACCGCTCAGTCATGAGTCGGATTCTCCCAAGAAAGGATTCCTTACTTCAAAGGAACTCTCTAGGGTTTCCGGCATGTCCCTTTCTGACACTTCCAAAAGTGGCATTTTTATTGGAACCCACCAGCAAATTGATCAACTTTTGAATGGGAAATCCAGTGACCCTTATGAGAAGCCGAAAGGCTTGACAAGCCGAAGGTTTCCCAAGACCAGCCAGCAGAATTTGTGCTTTGTGTTTCCCTGCCGCCGGGGTTGAACCGTTGGAAGGTAAGAAGACCTCCTTGGTCATTCCCTACATAAGCTCCAAAACCATCTAAAGCTCCAAAACCACGCCTGAGACCCCCTTGGTCATTCCCTACAAGCTCCAAAACCATCCAAAGCTCCAAAACCACGCCCGAACCAGCAGAACATGTTGTCGGCCTGCGCAAAGAAAAGAAGCCTGATGGTGCACAGGCCCTGGTTTAGCGGGGATGGCGTATGTTGGTGATTTGCCAGAGCCTCTGAGGGTTTCACATAAATAATTTATTGATTCTTTGAGGGCCCGAACAAAAAACCAAACAGACAAGCTCATAAACAGTTCCCCATACAAATCCATGTGGGTGGCTCGTCTTTTTGGAGTTAGTACCTTCTGTTTTGGTTTCAAAGGGAACCCTAAAGGAAGTACCCATCCAAGACTGTGGGTACGATTCCTTTCAAAGAAAAACAAAACCCATCTCCAGCCCCCCCCCCAACATGTTGTTTGTTTCAATCATGCAACCAACATCCCCTCAGGGAAACATAGGGAAACCCAAACCGTGGTTGACCGCATCGCCTTCCGTCGGATCGGATCGGATCGAAGGCACGCTGCTGGGGGACGGGCGCTGGGAGAGCTGCGCCGCGTGTCTGCACGCCTGGAACAACTGGGCGCGGCGCCTGCGCTTCGAGCGGCGCCTCGATGGCATGCGGATCGAGACATCGAGAAAGGATGGATCCATCGACCGAGATCGGCTGCTACAGGGCTCCTTAAAAGATATACTTTTTGTTTGCCACCATTGGAAACATGTTTGTTTTTTTTTGCCACCAAAAAAAGGGAAACCACCATTTACAAGGCAATGTTGAGGTGTACAATGTAAGGATCCCTGTTCTATGTAACAAAAGCTGTCCCCTTCTAGGGTGCTTTTTTTTTAGGAAGTGTGTTTGAAAAAGGCAGGTTTGGGTGAGAGGATGTGTGAATCTTTGTGGAAGAGCGATTCCACGCGGGACGGGGAGTCGGGAGGGGGGGGGGGGGGGTGAAGGGAATTCTCATATTTGAGGGAGGAGAGCCGCAAAGCGAAGTTCCGAAAGTGTAGCATTTGAGTGGATGAGACCTGGTTGCATGAGGCTCTTTGTGAAGCTTCTGTAAACAAGCTTTACAACCGTGTTACGAAACAAAGGGGTTGGGCACCGCTGTGGGAATGGAACGGCAAATGCTGGAAACGCCAAAGGGAACCTTGACATTTGGTGAGTTCCCTTGTTGCAACTTAGATGAAAGCCCTCAGGTTTGTTCCCTTCCTTCCAGGAATCCCCACTGTGGCTTCCGAAGTCGAAATTTTCACCCTGGGAGTCTGTTGGCGCAGCTTCTGCTTGATTTTGGTGCTTGGAAGTCGGAACACCTTGACAAGTGGGGGTACGTCTCCATGTTTCTGTGCCATCTTCACCCAATCCCTGATCAAGGACAATTCACCAAATTCCATCTGCGCCATGGGTAAGCAAAATGAACACCGATACTAATGTTGACCCCGGATTAATAAACTCCTGGTTGCTTTTGATTGGGGGGTGTCCCCTTTTAGTGAGGATTCAGACCACTTTTGGAGGGATCACCCTCCCAATAGTGGGACGTGTTCTACTTAGATCCTGGGACATTATCCCTGTAAGGTTTTTTCTATTCCCAGAAACACTCAAGCTCGCCTTGGCTCTCAGTTCCTTGGGCAGATGTACGGCTGGTGGACACTGCCTATCCCACTGTGAGTGCCACCCTTTTTTGGAGGACCACGAGCCATTTCTTAAGGGGCCCTGTGGGAAGTGTTCCCAGGAATCGCGACTCCATGAGGGCAGCCCTCGCCTGGGATGACCCCGACCGAGCTGCTGCTGCACCTTGACGACCCACGAGCGCCCCCTCGCTGGCCCGAGCCAATGCAGACCACTCGAATTGGGTGAAGGGTGGCGAAATCCATGTCCCACCTCAGAAACCTTCTGATTCTTAACGTAAATTCATACAAACAATGGGGTTTCAACCATGGTTTCGAAGTGGTGCGAAATGGATTTCGTCCATCCACAGTAGGGCCAGTAGGGACCAATTTGTTTGGGTTTCCTTGCAAAGAAACAAGAGTTTTGAGGGTCCTAAAACAATCGATTCGAACCCTTAGGGCATTGAAGCAAACGACATGTTCCATGATACAACTGTTTCGGATTGTTGAACCACGGTTCTTTAGGAAAGCAACGTGTTCAAACCTATTGTTGCGTTGGGAGGTTGCACCATTGTTCCTTGCAAAGCATGTGCAACCATATGTTAGGACGGAGTCCAAGAAAGCTGGAAAAGGTAGGTTCTAACAGACTCCCTGCTTTTCTGGGGATACCAATATTTCAGTGGCAACCAAAAAGCTTTGGACTTTGTTTCGCCAAACCACCCAGGAAGTGAGGCTCTGGTCGGGGAACAACCAAGTCGCTCAATCCTCACCAAGGTTAACTCATCATTATGGGGCAACACAAAATGTTGCAGTTCTTCAACCCCCTTTCAAAGATATAGAGAAGGCCACCAATAAGTTTGGGCGCGTGTCCTTAAAGAGCCATTGCAAAACACCGCGAGGACACCAAGGGGTGGGTTTACGTGGATGGCCGCCCTCTCGCGCCAGGAACCCAAAATTGGGGTCCCTTTCTGTGTCCGCTTCGATAGTGTTTGGGCCCTGGTTGAAGGGCTGAGGAACAGCCATTCCCTTTGGTTCTTAGCTTTTTAGGGCTTCGTGGGGGCTTCCATTCAACCCACTCAAAGATAAGCTTTTAGCAGGGGATCTGAGGACAGCTCAGCTATGGGTTCTCTCTTGGTCTGCATTGGAGTCCGGGGACCCTTAGATGTTGCGAATCAGTTTGAATTCGCGGCCAAGTCCTTTGTGCTGTGCATCGCTTTGAGACATCGGCAAACTTTTTCGGGCTGGTCGTAATACCAACAATGTTCCTTTTCGAGTCATGACGTAGTCGTAATGGTTTAGAGCTTTCTTTGGTGGCATCGAATTTGAAATGAGGCCATCATGGGGCCTTGTTAGTTGATGCAGGGTTGATGACACCGGGAATTTGACCCGTTCCTTTTCTCGGTTTGCTGTGTTTGTACTCACGGTGATGTACAAAGGCCGAATCACACAAGCTGCCCTTGAACGATCTCCTCCCAACGCCCCAAAATCTGACAGATGGTCCAGACGTTTGGGTTGTTTCCACAGCTTTTTCGGGGGGAAGCCACAAATTGATGTACAAAGGCCAAATCACACAACTCCCCATGTGAACGATTGCTCTCCACGGCTTTTTCGGGGGGAAGACTTAAATCCATGAGATGTCACTCCGGCCGAGGTCATGCGCGCTCGCGAGACTTTGGCCAAGAGCGATCGAGCCGCGCCCCCAGACTACGGACTGATCCTTCGCGAGCGCGAGAGAGGCAGGGAATGGAGGAATGGAATGACCCGGAAAAGACAAACCATCCAACGGGTGGTTCCTTTCAGGAGGCCAACGCCTGGGTTCATTCCATTTCACCTTCCCCAGCTATCGCAGCATGAAGCACCTGCGTAAAAGCAAACTGCTTGGCCTGCGGGACTTGCGGGGATGGCAACAGGTTGCCGTGCTCGGCACTTGCGGGATGTGCTGTCCAGCCGTGACCGGCATGACAACCCACCCACGGAGGGGAGCCGCAACCTGGGGATCCCCTTAAAGGAAACCATAGGGGATTTTATAATTTTTATATTTTTTTTTTTCCGGGGTCATTCTCTCATTCCCAGCTGAGCACCAGCAAGTTTGTGAAATTTTGCAGATTCTCTCGCGCTCGCAGGTCACGTGGTTGAGCATCTTGGCGACAGACTGGACACATCGGCGCATGTCCGCATACTTTAAGCCAATCCCCTTTCCACACATGCGAGGCTCTCATTTATGTTGAGCTTCCAGGTGTTCAATAAAGCCATTAAATTCTGGATTCAGTGAATCAAGCTTGCACGAATCTTAGCAAGCTCACCTGGGGTACTGTAATTACGTCTTTCCCACCCCCATTCTGCCCAACTGAGTTGTACCACAGGCATGTGCGATCATGTGTGTGTGTGTGTGTTCGCGTGTTTCCTTTTCCAACGGCACGTGGCACATGCTGCATGCTGATCGCGGATCGACCTGAGGCGTGCAGTTCTGCCGGAAGGTCGAATCTTGGCAGTCCGGAGTGCGGCAGATGGATGCAGATCGGTCTGATTGAAACTGATGGCTTGAAAGAGAAAGCAACGGACAGCCCATGGATTTCTTGTGTTTTTACCAGTTTCAGACAACTCCTTATGTGATGAGTGAGCATGCTTCAATTGCATGTATGCAGTATTGAATATGCTGGAACATGCTGGAACGTGTTTCAACCATGACTTTTGATGTCGGCAACTTCGGCGCACAGAAAGGTTGCATAAGTATAGCCATCCAGAGGCCCATGGCCCACATCAGTTGATATGCAGATGTTTCCAAGTGCTTCCATGTGCCGAAAAGAATATGTGTTATTCTCCCCAGACGGTTTCAAAGGGAATCTGTCACTATATACTGGAAATATGTTTCTTTTTTTCCAGGGGCTGAAGCAAATGGAAGAATTGCATCCAAGATTCGGTGTTCACTACCGCCTCTTGTATCTTCAAGTCACTTTCGTTGCATCTTTGGCTTCTTTTTTTCCCTCGGGTGCCAGGTCAAAAGCAGCGCCCGAAGTAATGCGTTGCTTCCACCTTTTCGCCTTTCGGCTGGGAAGATCACTGTTTTACCGCCTGAAGCAGCAGCTACCCTTTGTTTCAACAATGGAATTGGACAAGCCTTTCGGCTGGGAAGATCACTGTTTTACCGCCTGAAGCAGCAGCTACCCTTTGTTTCAACAATGGAATTGGACAAGAGAAGGTCATGGAGGCCCATCAGGAAACTCGTCTTCCATTGTTGGCTATTGGTCGGGAGGGGTTCTTGAGATTATGCACAAATCCGAGGAGGACAAAGTTCAGACCGTGTACCCAGTGACATCTCCACCAGCCTTGCGGAGAGAAAGCGGCGCCTTGCCTTCAAGCGTTTGTCTACTCTCCAATAGCTGCACTCGATGAATTCCATTTGCTGAAATTAATATGTTGTCTGGCTGGGTTTGAGGGACGGGCAAACGAGTGGGGAATGACCATCTACCAAATTGTCAACAAGCAAATGAGCAAACCGAGGTTTCCAATCACCAGCCGTCGTGCCCCCTGTTGGCTTTAAAGGGAGTTGATCACTGGAATACATTTGATGTTTTTTCCAGGGGACGTATTCGCAAATGAAAGTCTCCCTTCAAGAAATCTGCAAAGCACACAGTTGCTTAAACATCCTCATGACATTTCATAGCCTGTCTCGTCATTGCACAATCAAGTTGCATTTCCATGGATTGAGGTATGGATGCTGTACCGCCATAAGCTGGTCAGGCAGACAAGAACGCAACCTTACGCGGCATATAACCTCCATACCTCCAAGCCCATACCTGAAATTGCCCTTGACAATCCAGTCATCAAGTCTTCAGTTTCCTGCATGTTTTTCAGAATGAGATTTGTAAGCCCCACTACGAATTTGATGGATGGTCCCAACCCAAATTCATACACGGCAGCCTTTGCCGTTCCTTGTGAGGGCGTTGTCAACAGAACTTTTTGACAGACCTACGAACGGAGAATACCACCAATGGTTGACTTGGCAACGCCCAGCTCTGGTGGAGCTCAACATGACACGCAAAGTTTGAGCGTGCTGAGTTCAAGGTTCCATTTGAGCCAGTTGCTCCAAAAAGCCCGGGTAGATGAAGGTTAGGGATAGTTCCAACCATAAATCGCTGCGGATATCCGCTTTCTTAATTCTTGAAGCATGGTTCTGGGTAGACCATTTTAATACCGGGTTTTGATTGTGACTCATTTGTGGTGGACGGGTTGGTTTCGCTTTCCGCCTTCTGTGGACGCCTGAAGGAAAGGTCGATGGTTATCAACAGGGCAGGTGGTTTAAGGGTGTCCCTTTCGTGGCCTTTTCTGTTTCTGTTGTTTTGTGTTTTTTTTTGGGGGGGGTCGCCTGAAAATCATAGCCACACACGCAGATCAGATAGGCCTTGGAGCTTCCATACGCGTTTGGAGCCTGCCACGAATCTCCCATCCAAGCTGCAGAAGAGGAACCACCCTCACATCCAAGGCTCTGGCATGAGGGAATTTCTGGAATGCCCAAGCCTCAACACAAGCGAACAAACAAACAAAGAACACGCAAGCACGAGAAACGCAAACCACAAAGCAGACAAACAAACACAATCAAAAGCAAATTATAATTCTAGTAAGCAAAAACGGACAAACCAACAAAAAACAATCAATCAATCAATCAATCAATCAATCAATCAATCAATCAATCAATCAAACAATCAAACAATCAATCAAACAAGCAGCCAGGCAAGCAAGCAACTACACATCCAAGCACAAAACAAACACACGCAGAAAATCAGGCAAACAACCAAACATACACACAAACAAGCAAAGGATAAAGGAAGAAACCAAGCACACAATAGCAATATAAACTCACATGCAAACAAGCAAACAAACAAAACAACATCACAAGCAAAAAAAACATCACAACAAACAAACAATCAAGCAAACAAACAAACAAACCAACAAACAAACAAACAAACAAGCAAGCAAGCAAGCAAACAAACAAACAAACAAACAAGCAAACAAACAAACTAGGTCAGCCAACCAGCCAGCCAACCAAACTTACAAACAAACAACATCACACAATTACACAAACACGCAAACAATCCAAAGAAATCAAAAAGAGAGGCACACAGCCAGACACACAGACACATAGACAAACACACAAGCAAACAAATAAGCAAACAAACAGACAGGCAGACAAA